TTGGGAATCCACCCCCCCCCCCCCAAAAAAAAATCTATACTCACGTAGGTGGATGCTGTATCTGTCCCTCATCTATTCTAAGATCGAGAACTGATCACTCAGTTCTTGGTCTTCACTGAGCAGAGAACGCTCTCCAGCGCTCACTGGGCGGTGGAGGAGACTAGAGAGTGGCTGGCTCAGACTCTCAGCAGCTTGCTTAGAAGCTGAGCCAGTTGCTGGTTCCAGACATCTGGGTGGATCCCGACATTAAAGTCGGGATCGCTCCAAAGTCTGGATCAGCTGTGATGTCAGCCGACAGCAGACTTTAGCTCATTGTTGGCTGAAAAACAGATCACAGGAGTGCAGAACAAAAATGCACTCCTGTTATCCCCAGGAGAAGTAAGGCCAAAAGAGCTTTGGCCCCTACTTCCTACTTCGCCTCCTCCCCCTCTAACACTTTTTTTTTTCAACTAACCTATTTCTAGCAAATACCCACTCCCACGTTGCTGGAATCACCTAGGTAATCCTACCAGAAGCTATTCCCCCTCCCTGCAACCTCCTAATCACAGCAGTTCACTTCCTCCTGGCAGGCCCCCACGAGGGTAAGGCTATACAGGCTTGTTTTAAAGCCAACTTTTTCAAGAACTTTTGATTTTGTTTTGGATAGTCAGAAAAGGGACAGATCCATTGTCAGGTTTTTACTACCCTCTGTGTTCGTATTGGAGAGCACCACGCTTGTGGAACCTGTATAAAGGTTAACGCAAAAACGCTATGAGATATTTACCACAGCAAACTGTTTTATTATACCAAGATGTGCAGCACTTGTTTACCAATATCAAAGTGATATCAAATGCATCTCACTGCAAAAGAATTGCCACCACCAAGAAAACACAGCAGAGGCTTACCAGAGAAATATGACTCTCAAGTTATAGAGAAGTCATATTAGTCATGATGTCACAATTGCAATATTTCGTAAGTAGGATCGAACTGGATTCAGGAAAGCAGCCAAGGGGAAACACCACCGGAAAAAAAAAATTCAAATATACAGTATTCAAAGAAAGAAGGAGACCAGCGCTCTACATAGTGTAAAATCTGATAAATACGTTTATTATTAAAAAAAAGTATATATTGCACTCACATTGAATGGAAGTATCACAGAGCTGTACACAATGTCTAAAACCGGTGATTTGCAGTTCTAGCGTGATGACGTCAGGTAGCGTGTCTCACACACATCTTGGTATACTAAAAAACATTTTTTTTTATTATAGTTGGTAAGGTAACGCATTTCTAACAATCCTGCAGACTTGTGACTAGTTTCTGGGAGGGAATTGACAAGGACAGGAAGTCAGGAAAAATCTCCCTAGTGAGCTACAGACAAGAAAAAAAAACTGAAAGAAAATGTGCCTCATTCTCTCTCTACAAATTACAAATAATGCAAAGCTAAAATAATGCACAATAGTACCCTTTTATTTTTTTTTTTTCGAATTGTAGCATTATCTGCTGTGATCCAGCTGTTGCATAGTGCTTGGTACAAATTAATGTAATGACATCTGCCTGGAGTTAGCGAATGAGGCCAGTTCCTCATGGCCTTCTTCCTTACCTGACAGCCTCATTCACTTGTGTCTGCATGAACAAAAAAACAGCAGCAGCCATAACGCAAGTCATGATTACCGCCTAGATGGTAAATGGAACATACACTGAACTGTCTTTGTGCTTTTGTATCACTCCCTATGCATCTGCAACTTACAAACAACTGCTCGGCTGTAATGTAGGTCTGTGTGCATTACCAGCTCTGAGGGAGAAAAAAACCTTTTACATATTGTTGTATCCACGCTGTGAGGAGAGCTATAGGCAAACACACAAATTCAAATATAAAGCTTGTGAGCATATTTGAGACAATGTAGGACTGCTACTAGTGTGACCGTCAACATAAAAAGCATGAATGGAAGCACGGCTTAATGGTTGCCATAATCACTTCAATTTTATTATCCAATTTGTTGGGTAGGTGCAGCATAGTGTGGCGGCAGCACGCAGTCCTGATTTGCAATAAATGATGTATTATAAAAGTACAACCAGGCTCGGCAGGGAGGCCCACCTTTCCAAGACCACTTACAACAATGCAGCATAGAGACAGCGGTCTAGAGACTCAGAGATGCTGACAGCATCTGCCACAAGGAGCGGAGTAAAGCCCGGTTGGTTAAATGCACACGGGTTACTTCTTGAGAAGGTAGACGTAGTCCCTGCGCTCTCTCCCTACTCCATGAGAACCTTTTCCTATCTCTAGTGCTGTTCCTGACAGACGGGGAACCTGTCTGTATGCTAGCCACTCGCATAACGCACCAAAACCAGGGGTCAGAGTCTTAAATAAACTCTGCCTTGCCCAAGATGGCCACCAGGGTCACATGGGACATGAGCATCCAACTGGATCACTGCCTGTGTGACCAAGGAAGTCATCGGAGGAGGCTAAAGAGTGGCTGGCTCAGGCTCTCAGCAGCTAGCTGAGGGGCTGAGCCAGTTGCTGGTTCCAGACATCTAGGCAGATTCCAAAATTAAAGTCGGGATCACTCCAGAGTCTGGATCAGCTCTGTGATGTCAGCCGACAGCAGAATTTAGTCCGTTGTTGGCTGAAAGCGGATCACAGGAGTGCAGAATGAAGTGCACTCCTGTGATGCCAGGATAAGTAAAGCCAAAAAATCTTTGGCCCTACTTTGCCTCCTTCCCCCTCCTAAAACACTTTTTTTTAACTAACCTATTTCTAGCAAGTACCCACTCCCACGTTTGCTGGAATCACCTAGGTAATCTCACCGGAAGCTATTCCCCCTCCCTGCAGCCTCCTAATCACAGCAGTTCACTTCCTCCTGGCAGGATCATATATAAGCCTGGGGTGGAGTCTAGGAGAAGGTCATAAGTTGGCTGATAGAAAGATCATTACCAGGGAGGAGAGCCATGATCTGAGACATAAAACCCTTATACTTCATTATCCCTGGGGTGGGCACCCCTGCTAATGGAGGCACATGGTATATGGCCACTCAATACTAAACTCCTGGTTGAATTTATAGACTTGTGAAGGAACTGTTGTGAAGTGAGATAGCACACCTCTAAGCCAGGCTGTACAGTGAAGCTCATGAGGAACACAATTGAAGAACCCTGGTGAACCCAACTGATTGCCAACCTGGTGTGGGTATGGCGATGGATGGGGAAGTAAAAGCCTGTCCTGGAACCACACCAAAGATGTTGAGCCTAATGCAGGATGTGTCCACTGCCAAAAGAGCTGTGCTGACAGAAGTGGCCAGGTGTATGGTGAGTGTGTGCACAGGGTACATCATGTTTCAGACACCCATATGTGAAAATGTGCAGATGCACTGGAGTAAAAGAGGGCGGCTGGAAGATAGGTTCAATCACCCCTGTCAAAACATAAACATAATGATGGATTAAAATAGATTTGTATTATTAATGTATATAGACACATGAATAATATTTTGTATTATATTTTTTTTTTTTAAATAAGACGTTTATATATATTTTGTATTATAGACTTATATTTTTCTTGTAATTATGATTTGTATTATGCTTTCTTTGTTTCATATAAATATGTATTAATTTGTCTATTTTTATGGAATTATGATCTGTTTTAGATTTTACATGACTGTATTTAGATTGTAAGCTGAAAAGTTTTGATCAGGAAGTGAACTTGCAGTATGGTGAGCTGTGGATTTGATTTAATTAATGAACAGCGAATCAGAGAGGTGGGAGGAGTAGTGGCTAGGTATAATTTGGAAGCAGGAACCCTGATCCATCTTTCGTCCGTGATACCCTTTGCAGGGTCCACTACTTCAAGGTCAAGGATGCCATTATGAATGCAGCCAGCACGCAGGATACCATCCTATTTAATGAAGTGCCGGTGATGCTCCTCCCTGACCTCACCTGCCAGACTTTGGCCATGCACTGGGCCCTGCTTTCTCTCATTCACATGTTGCAGGAGAGGCATATTCGCTACCAGTGGCGATTCCCATTTCAACTCAATGCCTTGCAGAACGGAAAATCAGCATAATTTCATCGGGGATTCTAATCTCTCGGGGACTTGCCCACTTTTCTCAGTGTGTTTAAGCTACCTCAGGTGTCCCTGGCCCTTCCAACTCCCGACCCCAGGCCTTCCATTTCCCTCATCCTGGCACTGGTCCAATCGAAAGAAGAAGAAACATTCTAGATCATCCTCCCAGAAGATCCCAGAGGGCTGACCCTTTCCGTGAAAACCGGGAGATTTCTCCCCTCCTTTTTCTTACAGTTTTTATGCATGCTGTTGGTTGCTCTTTTTGGACCTGTGACTTATACTCATGCCAGTTGCCTTTTGGGCTCTAGGACTGTGGCTTGGGGCTAGCTCTTGAGTTTTGCCACCGCTGTTTGCTGTGGCAGGCGAGGACGCCTTCGGTCATAGTCTCGGAGGTCCTAGGCCCTCTTACTTTTTGATTTATTCACATCTTGTCATTACTGGGTTATGTTTATGTCTATTGTCGGGGCGAAGGGGCTGTTTTGTTTTTTTTTTTCATTACTGTTTGAGGGTTTACTTAACACGTTTTATGGGAGGGCGTCATCCTCATCCGAGGGTGGCCTCACTCTAGGTTATCATTTCCTGTGGGAGGCCTGGAACGGGATCGAATACATGCGCCTCTGACATTCCCCACCTAGGCCTTCAGTGTATTACATAGTATCACTTCATGTTACCTAGACAGATCACCTGTCTATTAGTTTTTTTCTTCTCACTTTCCTCTGTTTTCTGCTCTTCCTTTCTCAGCTTTTTGTCCTACGGACACAGTTGATCACGTGATGTGGTAACAGCGGCCTTTTACCACGTGATCAGCTGTGTCCAATGACACGTTGATCACCGGGAAATGCAATTGCCGGTTCTCGGCTGCACTTTCCTCACGCTGTCAGAGCGTGAGGAAAGTACTGCCGAGAACTGGCAGTTGTCAGATCAGGGAGCGGCATCGATCATCAGGGCACTGATGATCAGTGCCCTGATGATCGGTGCCCAGCAGTGCCACTCACCAGTTCCGCCCACCTGTGCCCAGCAGTGCACCCACCTGTGCCCAGCATTGCACCCACCTGTGTCCAGCAGTGCCACCCACCTGTGCCACCCAGCAGTGCCACCCACCTGTGCCCACAAGTGTCACCCACCTGTGCCCACCAGTGCCACCCACCAGTGCCCATCAGTGCAGCCAGTCAGTGCCACCAGTCAGTGCCCAGAGGTTTTGCCAGTCAGTGCCCAGCAGTTGCACCAGTCATTGCCTAGCAGTGCCGACAGTCAGTGCCCAGCATTGATGCCAGTCAGTGCCACCTATCAGTGCTGTCTATCAGTGCCGTCTATCAGTGCCACCTATCAGTGCCACCTCATTAGTGCTGCCTATCAGTGCCGCCTATCAGTGCCCATCAGTGCCGCCTATTAGTGCCCATCAGTGCTGCCTCATCAACGTACATCAGTGAAGGAGAAAAATTACCTGTTTGAAAAATTTTATAATAGAAACAAAGAAACTTTTTTTTTTTAATCAAATTTTTTGCACTTTTTTTGTTTATAGCGCAAAAAGTAAAGTGTCCAGCAGTGATTAAATACCACCAAAAAGCTCTATTTGTGAAAAACAAATGATAAAAATTTCATATGGGTACAATCCTGCATGACCGTGCAATTGTCAAAGTGCGACAGCGCTGAAAGCTGAAAATTGTCCTGGTAAAGAAGGGGGTATAAGTGCCCAGTAGGCAAGTGGTTAATTAATTTGTTCTAGGCTCGGGTCTATTTTACACATTCAATCACCCCTGTATTTGGCAGGCCCAAGTGGAGGACATGTGGGTGACTCAGTCACGTTCCTGGGACCTGCCCACATAGCCTGCCCTATTTTCTAGCTGGAGGATGTCTGGCATCATATAATGCTTACCATCATTGGATTTATTTTTTTTTAATCATAGAGGCTCAGCATCACACATGAGCATTCACTGGAACAGATTGCCTATTAATGCAACCTGCCTAAGAACTTCCACTCCTCCAGAATGACATCCAGCCTTCAAGACATTTTGATATTTTGCAAAATTCCTCCCAAGAGTCAGCCCACTGCTTAAATCAGGGCTGAGGGCTCGTGAGAGGAGTATTGAGGCAGGGTACTGTGATGTTTTTAGGAATCTGCCAGCCATTCCCACCAGCAATGATCTGCCCAAATTTAATAGAGAAGCACAAAGACCTAGTGATGATGTCACTGGGTCTAAACTAAGGTATGTAATGCAAATGGAAGGTTTTATATACTGCATGTTGACATGGGGGAAAGGACAAACCAGGAAAGGCAAAATATATACAGATTAAAAATCAGCTCATGCAAGCTTTTATTTTGGCAGCTTGCAGACCCACAAATTTCAGTTTTTTTCTTTCCCCAAATACTACTCCTCCTGTAGGATAACCCCCATAATAGTGTAGCAGTGTACATTTCTGAATGGCACAGTCTACTTACTTTCTTGTAGCTCCTGGGCAGATCAACTCTCAGGGTGGGATCCTTGGCAGCAGTGGGTTGAATATGTTGGGCACCAGTTTATTTAGTAGATTTTGTAAATGTATTGCTGATACCTCATGGGAGAGAGGGGTAAGGGAAACAGAATATCACAAAAAATAATGCTTGTACCCAGAATCTTTGTAGTTGAATCTTAATTCCTAAACCCTGAGTTCTTGTGTAGCTTGTGTCTGCCTTCTTCACTGGACTGTTAAAGGCCTCTGCTTCTGTAGAACACCAAGATAAGTATAGTGCTCCATATCAGCCCCTAAAAAAAATATATATATATAATTTATTGCTAACCTGTGTACAAGATAAATTACAACATCAAGAATTGTGTGCGTTTGTCTCTCCCTTACTGCGTACCCTGCGCCCCACCTACAAGTGCAGAGGCCCTGCCAACAAGTGCAGTGCAGTTCTGTCATATATAACACCTCTAATCTGAGGGGTACTTGGTGTAATACCAGATCTGTGAAGTTTAAGGTCTCCTTCACACTGCTGGTTGAATTCTGCAGATTCTACTGACAGATTCTTGCCATTGAAATGACCAGGTCATATGAATAGCAGTAGCCTGTCAGCCTCTATAAACTACTTTCAGGCTGGCAGTGGCTAGTGCATTTCACATATAGCTGCACAGTTTTGGAGGAGAGCTGGTCATGTGTGTTTGACATGTGAAATAACCAGGCTGTCCTGTTTGTTTTTTTTTTTCTCACACCCCTATTCTAATAAATGAGAATAATATAATTTTTTTGTAGAACAGGGTACATAAGCTTGGTGGTTTCTATCAAACTAACTTATCTGTAGAACCAAAATAGAAATATGTCTGCGCTCAAATCCAAGTAGCTTTACACATACTGTACACATAACCCATCATGTTCATCAACCCTGTGCACACTGTTATACACTTTTACACATTTCTTGCAAACTTTGCATTAAAAGAGGGATTTTTTGATTCACATGCATTTCAATACATGTTTAAGCTGGCCAACTGCATCAAAGTAATTTCTCTCTCGCTAGTCCATATACTACTCTACTTTACTTTCTACTTTCTGGCAATAGGCTGGGTGCCCCACTGCTGGGGTCTAGCACCTGGCTGGGTGCCCCACTGCCAGAGTAAGGCAATTGGTTGGGTGCCCTGTCAACTTAATTCTCAGAGAGATACAAAACTTGATACTTCAAGTCCCTCAAAACAGCAGGTACCCAAAGCTGGGATACCATAAGTCATCTGGGCACGGGTCATTTAACAGTGTCGGAAACCTGACACCAGAGTGTCTTGTTATAACCAAGTAACTTGCCTGTTCTCCATATCAACTGCCGCCTAGGTCTTTCTAAGGCACTGGTTACCTGGCTAAGGTCCCCTAGTCCCCTTGAAGCTTCAGCAAGAGCATCTAGAATGTGGCAAGCTACGTGTTGTGCTCGACCAACCCCAGAAGATTGCTACTTCCTGGGCTTTTATGGCAATTGCACAACAATTTTATCTGGGTTGTGACAAAGTAAATATGGTACTCGACATTCCATGGATTTACAATTAGCAGCGTTACATTAATAAAATGTGTTGCTGCTTGCAGAACAGAGAATTTGGGCCAGATGTGTTTAAATATTTGGATTGCAGAGCTTGGTGGTTTCTCCGTAGAACAGGGTACAATATGCTTGGCGGTCTCTATCAAAAGTCTCTCCGGAGCAGGGTTACAAGCTTGGCGGTTGCAATCAAAAGTCTCTACAGAGCAGGGTAACAGACTTGGCAGTTGTGATCAAAAGTCTCTGCGGAGCAGGGTACCAAGCTTGGTGGTTTCTATAAAAATATATCTGTGGAGCAGGGTAACAAGCTTGGTGGTTTCTATAAAAAAATCTCTGTGAAGCAAGTGATCAATCTCGGGGGTTTCTATAAAAAATCTCTACGGAGCAGTGTAAAAAGCTTATAATAAATCTCTGTGGAGCAGGGTAACAAGCTTGGCGGTTTCTATAAAAAATCTCTGCGGATCATGGTAACAAGCTTTGTGCTTACTATGAAAAAAAATCTCTGCAGAGCAGGGTAGTATGCTTGGCGGTTTCTATCAAACGTCTCTGTATAACAGGGTATGAAACTTGAATGCTCCTGTGAAGCTAAGGAACTAAGGCATCTGCAGGGATGTCCTGGAGCACCTGCAAAATATTAAAGTATAAGTTATGGTTGGCATGGTGCATGCCGACATGTGTTTTTAAGTCGTACTGCAATGCACTTTTTTAAAGGCGCGTTCCAGTGTTTTTCTTTTTTGTAATATATGCTATTACTATACAATGAAAAAAAATGCAACATGTCCTATTTTATTCAGTGCAAACCAACAGAGAGCATTAGTGTGAACTGGAAACAAGGCTATTTTCCCGGTGCTTTCATTTAGACTGTGTTGAGCAACACTGCTTGTGTGTAAAACCCTTTCTGGGTCATAAAATATTGTGGAAAAATCATATCTAGTTCTATTAGGTTACTCTTACCTTCATATACGCAAAGTCCCATCTTGCCTGAATATAATTCCAGTTGGCAACCTCCAAGATTCTGAAAGATAAAGAAGTAACACACATAAGCACAATGAACAGACAAGTAAAACCAGCAATAGACTTCAGACCAGGTAGCACAATCCATTTACAGCTGATGTGCATTCCATAGAAAAGAAACAAAACAGAAAGAGAAGTAATAATGAAAACGTACTTTCTGGCCCAATCCTCTTTAAGGCCAGATCCCATTGAGAACTTTTTGATGTAGGTGGCAGCAGTTGTATTGGGGCCATGCAAATCATAATATCCGCTGGTGCTGTAGATGAAGTCCTCTGGAATCTGGTTTTCGATCTGCAAAACATCAAAATGAAATACAATTAAAAAACAATAAGCTACTGTGGACAGAAGTAAATTTAGAGGCCTTTTCATAACAGGGAACCGTTGTTGCTATCTGCTCTTCATTAAACTCCATAGGGCTAGGCAAACTATGGTCCACATTTTACAGCTAATTCACAATGTGGTGGTCACAGTGTGTACTCTGTGGTAGGTCACAGAGCTACTCTGTGATTGGAGGAGAGCTGGTTATGTGTATTTGACAAGTAAAAAACCCAGGCTGACCCTCATTTATATTTTTCTCACAACCCCATGGCTGCACTTTTTAAATGCCCCCCTTAGTTATAAACTGATGGTCTTACCTTCATCTTTTTAAAGACGTCTACAGCATTCTGCCATCTCCACTTCATGTCTGAAAGGTACCTGAAAAGGAAAGTGTTGGTCAGATTAGTAGTAGACAATAGAATGACAGAACATACATGCAATATATGTAATGTTGATACACAAAACTCAACATTTAATTTCCAAACAGCATGTGTATATATATAGTAGGAATGATGGTAAACACAGAATTTCCCTGACCTCCTGGGTCATCTCCATTTTGTTGGAGAACCAGTAAATTGAGTATCTAGTTGGTAAGGGGTGATGATGCCTTTCTAAACAGCCTAGACGTCATACAGAAGAGCAGGAAAGGACTACACTCTCCTCTGAACAGGTGAAAATTCCACAATGGACAAGTACAATAAAGGTTTTGTACCACCAGGAAGAACTAGACCGATAGAAAAAGCAAATAATGTTATCAAAGGGCTTGTGCAGATGGACTTTGGGTTTGTGCCTATGTCATCAGTCTGCTGTTAGTTTAAGAGATTTCTGGAATTATTCAGAATTCATTGGCAGGTGTATATAACCTGAAGTTGGCTTCCTTCTGACCTGCTTTTGACCTGCTTCATATGGCTTTTGCATTTCTATAGACTTGTCTGTGAATGCAAAATCTGCTGGAAGTGAACAAAAGTCCCTCAATATATAATGCAAACTTGGAGATCACTAGAGTACTATTGAAGTATAATAAAAATTTAATGCAGTAGCTTCCTCCATCCATC